AGCCTCCCGAAAGATTGTTAATTATAGCCTTCAAAAATTCCCCATCTTATCTGAAGAAGCATATCAAGGTAAATTAAAAAATACAATGACATATAAGCTAGTAACTAAGCGCTAGTTCAGTTCTCCCTGTTCACTCAGGACGTAGCAGCTAACGTTAGCTAAAGCTAAGCTGGCTGGCTAGCTGTATGCTACATGCTAGCATAAAGGCTCAGCTCAGGATTCTGACTCTGGAATAATAAATAATAGTATTTAATTGCTGTTGATTGCTAATGCAGATGTAGTTTTCTGTTTTTGTAAACACCTGTATGGCCTTTCACACGTTTGAAATAATATAAACAATATCTATCACACTTTTGACTGCCTTTTTTAAATATAAACAGTACTTGTACTTTTACTTATACTTGTACTTTCAATACTTGAGTAGCAATTTTTTAAATACTTCTACTTGCAATACTTAAGTACAAAAAAAATGGAGTACTTCCGTACTTCCACTAAAGTATGGAGTTCAAAGAACACTTCTACTTTTACTCAAGTAAATTTTTTTACATAGTACTTGTACTTCTATTCCACTCCTCTACTCCAGTACTTTAAACATCTCTGTGTGTGAGTCGCTTTGGATAAAAGCGTCTGCCAAATGCATAAACATAAACATAAACATAAACACCTCCTCTGGGATGACCGCGAACTGGTTCTTCTTGGCCTGGAGGAACTCCAGCTCGTTCAGGTTTGCGTAAACCAGGAAGTCCAGCGACTTGAGGGTGATCCGGGATATGTAGAGGCCTTTGAGGTGACCGATGGGGGAAAACAGCTCCGGGGAGAGGTCGTTCAGCTCGTTCACGCTCAGGTCCAGAGTCTCCAGCCTGGGCGTGTACTTGAACATGTCTCTGGGCAGAGAGGTGAGCAGGATGCTCTTGGCGTCAAACAGCGTGAGGTTGCTCAAACCCTCCAGGAGGTTGGGAGGCAGGTAAGTTTTACCCTTGTAATGCTGCCCGGGAATGGACAGCTCCCTGAGATGGGAGAGTTTAGAGAAAGGCGGGTCGGGCAGATTTTTGCTTTCTTTGTATTTAATGCGATTTTCCCTCAGGTCCAGTCTTCTCAGGCTGGTCAGAACGTTGAAAGCGCCCGTTTCTATGTCCGTTTTGGTGATCAAGTTAGACTGGAGCTGGATCTCCACCAGCTCCGTCAAGCCAAAAAAACTCTCGTTGCTCAGCTTGGCTATTTGGTTGAAATGCAACGATAAGTTCTGGAGGGACCTCAGGCCCTCGAACTGCCTCGGTTTGATGGCGGTGAGCAGGTTTCCGTTCAGGTGGAGCCTCGTGAGCTTCGGCAGGTCCGTTCTGAAGGCGCCGTTTAGCTTGGAGATGTGACTGTTCTGTAGTTTGAGGATCTCCAGTCTCTCCAAACCCTCGAAAGCGCAGTCCGGCAGGTGCGGGATGGAGTTCTGGTAGAGACTCAGGCGCGAGAGCCTCGTCATGCCGACGAAATCCCGACAGTCGATCGCCCCGATTGAGTTGCTGCTGAGGTCCAGCTTGGAGAGAAAGGGCAGATTCCTTGTTGCGTTCGGAACGACCGAAAGCTTGTTATTGCTCAGGGTCAAAATCCTCAAACGGCCAAGGGATCTGAAGGCGTCCTCGTGGATGAACTGGATTTTATTCTGGGCTAAATCCAACTCGGAGACGTTGACGCAGAGTCTGAAAAAGCCAACCGGGATGCTCCTGAGGTTGTTGCTCCGAAGGATAAGGGTGGACAGAGTCGGGATGCTGCAGGAAATGCTAACTAGAGCTTCCAGGTTTCCTCTCATGGAGTTCATCCTCAGGGTGTCTAGCGAACCGTTTGTGGCCCCGAGGAGAGCCCTCATGTCTTTTAAAGCCACCGGCAACCCGCTGATGTCCAGCCTTGAAACCCTACCGAGGAATCCCCCGGCAGACGTCGTATCCCAGACCATCGGCCTCTTGCTCTGGAATCCGCCGATGTTGAACCGCGTGAGGTTCGGGAATACGTCCGCGGACACGCGGAAGTCCTCCAGGCGGTTCTGGGACAGGTCCAGGGCCGATAGCCCAATTGAGCTGTTGGCCAATTCCCAGGAGCGGAACGAGGTCAGGCGGTTCCTCTTCAGGACCAGGTCCCGGAGCCCGGGAAGCTGCCGGATTACCAGGCGCACGTGGGCCAGATCCTGCAGGTCGTTGTTGGACATATCCAGAAAAGTCAAGCTCGTCACGGACCTGAAACAAGTCGAGGCCACCGATTTTATGCTGTTGGAGGCGATTCTGAGCTCCGTGAGGCTGCTCAGACCCTCGAAAACACCATCCCCCAACTCCAGGAGCTTGTTGTTGTTGAGGTTTAACTTCTGGAGGGAAGACAACCCGGAGAAAGCGCCGCGGTCTATCTGGGAAATCTTGTTCTGGTTCAGATCTAAACGTTTCAGGACGGGAAGGAACGGGAAATCCGACGGTCGGATCCGGGAAAGCCGGTTCAGCGTCAGGTCGATGGTGGTCACGGTTGGAGGAAGGTCTTTGGGGATTTGAGTGAGCTTGTTGGCCACGCATATCGCCGTGGTGACGGTGGTACGGCAGCCCTTCAGTATGAACCCCGAGACGGGATCTAGGGACCTGCACAGCAACAGGAGGACGAGGAACACGAAAGCTCTCAACGGCTCCTCTTTGGTTCCCATTTTTTAAGCCTTTCCCATATAAAACTGCAGCCAGACGCTTCTGAAAGGTGAATAAAATGTCCAAATTAGTCAAGGAAAGTTTATTTTACAGCACATTTCCTGTACAAGACAATTTAAAGTGCTTCACAGAGATTTTAAAAGCAGAAAAACAAGAAAAGAAAAACAATAAGAATTAGACAGATGAAAAGTGAAGGGTGAATATCAAATATATTCAATTTCCATACTTAAACAGAAGCGTTTTCAGACAGGATTTAACCCTTTAAAGCCCGATCCAACAATTAAAAAAAACGGAAAATAACTTTTTTTTGCTTCGAAGTCTTTATTTGGCCTTTTAACAAAATATGTAAAAAGAAAAAACAGAAATACATTTTTTTATATTAATGATTTATTACTATGCGATAAGTCAAGATTATTTTTGTGTAGTCTTCTGCCCCCTGTTATCAGGTGTATCTAATTGTGTAAATTAGGATTTTGAGCAAAGTTTTTAACCATTAAATTATGCAAAAGGTCTCATTTCAGAAACCGTATGTATCAAATATGATACATTTGGCATTACAGGGTTAAACATTGCCAGAGTTGATTTCTGTCTCACATCTTCAGGAAGACTGTTTCAGAGTTTAGGAGCCTGGAACTGAAATGAAGCTTCACCTTGTTAGAATTTGGCTATAATTACTCACCTTAGCATAGTATGCTATCACATGATCTATGTAAATTACTGATTGTTTTATTTTCTTTTATAACTATATTTTTGTGTTAAAGTCTCTGGCTGTGACCACAGACTCTCTCCTCTCTCTTTTACTTTCTCTTTTTTCTTTCTCTGTTGCATTAGATCCACCTTTAGGTCAACACAAACCAACTAAAGAATCGGGTTAAGAAAGGCAAGAGTTTAAACATTAATATTCCAACTGGACGCAGTTTGCTTTTGGTTTATGGTAAAAACCCTGTAAGAGGACCTGGGCCTTCACTAGTGCTCTGTCTGAATCAATTCACCCCTCAATAACTATTTTATGGTTATAAAAATCATCTTATTATGTAGAAATACAGTATAAAGATCAGGACTTCTACTACTCCCATTACGATCTCTTGATTCTGTGGAAGTTTTTAAGAGCAAACTTAAAACTCGTTTGCAAATCTTTTTAACAGTTCCAGTGCATTCTATGTACTTATGGTTTTTATTACATTTCATTGTTTTATGTAGTTATGGTTTTTATTACATTTTGTTGTGTATCTTGATGTATAATTGTGCACTTCTGTGAAGCACCTTGTGACCTTTGATGTCTGTGAAAGGTGCTATATAAATAAACTTTACTTACTTACTTACTTACCCCCCAAAAAACTTCAACAATATCCTCATAAACTCACAATATTATTTAGGAAAAAAGCAAACATTTTACTCATCAAAAATTCAGATTATTTGTACAATAAATCCATCCTCCTCTCTTTCCTCAAAAAGAATTCAATTACCTAATAAATGTAGTTTTTTATTCTTTTTATCCACTCTGGTTTATTCTCAGGTTTCCAACTAAAGAATTGGGTTAACAATCTTGTTTAGTTCTGACTCTGGACCCCATCAGGAGACCAGAACCTGGTTTAGTTCCATCAGGAGACCAGAACCTGGTTTAGTTCTGACTCTGGGCCCCGTCAGGAGACCAGAACCTGGTTCTCAGAGTCCGAGTTGGTTCAGGGTTTTCCGCCATCATCCCGAACCCAAAAAACCGACCAACCCCGCCTCAGACTCTCTAAAATAAATCGATAAAAACTTGAATTCTACTCACCGCGAGACCCAAAAGCAGCCGATGAATCGCAGATCTGAACCAGTTTGAACTTTTTGGATCAGGAGACTGAGACCGGAGAGTCTTCCTGTGGTGTAAAAAGCTTCGTTTGTCACATCCTCTTTCAAATAAACCACAGAGGAAGAGAGAAAAGACCGTGAGGGCGGGCGTGGGTGTTTTTATTATCTACCGAACGTGGGATTTAATGACTCCGCATCTGGGTACTGAAAGCTGAACACTTCTGGATGAGACACAAAAGACTTACATGTGTGGCTGTTTTTCTAGTAATGGCGCTCCTTTTATGGTGCGTAATGATGAAAAGTTGATTTTTATCCATTTCTTAAATGAGAAGTGAAAATAAAGATCAAGATACTCCTGTTTTCTGCTCCATCGTGCATCAGTTTCCTGTAAAAAAAACAAAAATTAAACCTAAAAACTGGATGAAAACCTCACTAAAATGAAAGCATTGCTTCAAAACAGTCATGAGGATTATTTAATAATGAAAAAACTCTAATATGCAGCTAAAACTAGCAGATCTGGGCAATAATGGGTCAAAAACATAACTTTTTCTCACATTTTCTCACCCTTTCTGTGATTTCGTAGCTCTAAATATGTCTTTTTTCACCAGTTTTCTGCATTTTTAATGCAGAAAAAGTCAAATTTACTTCATATTTGTACATTTTCAGCCACTATCCATTCCAAAAAATTCAATTTATACAGGTGTGTTTAGACAGGTGTTGTGTAAATTTGATTTTAACGTAAAAGTCTGAGTCCATCTGAGGAAGAAAGAAATAGAA